AAAAAAAAAAAAACACTGCAGCTGTGATAGCTTTCCAGAGTTGCAAAATCCTGCCCAAACACTGCAGAGTGTCTTCACAGATCTTCACAGACTTGACAGCCCCTTGCAATGTTTTAATGCAATTCTTTTTTCAGCACTAATTAACACTTGCAAAAGTCTGAGAATACTAGATAAAAGAGAATATTGAATGTCTAAGAACATGGGATGGAACGCTGAATTTCCCCAATACTTGTTAAGTTTTCCTGATGACTCTGCGCTGCTCTCACAGGTTGAAGTAGGGTTGCAGTTTATGATGGGGATTCTTAAACTGTTTCTAGTCTCTCGACTCAAAGCACTTTACAACACTGCACAGCAAGGAACTGAGGATGGAATACTTTAACACCACTATTTTCTTTCAGCATTAGAAAAGTATAATAATGAACGATAATGAATAATGAAAACGCAATGACCAATTAAAAAAATACAGCCATATAAATTTGGTAATATAAAATCAAGCAGGCCACCACATCCTGCCAAGCCTGGTGGTGCCATTAGTCTCACAGACAGTGAGACAAGTCAGAGTCAACCTAAATAGTCAACCTGAAGTGAAGGGAGGGTCAAGTTCAACACCAACTAAAAATAAAATAATATCATAAATGTGTCAAAAAATAAATAAAAGTTTTTTATCTTTTTGTGTAAGCTGGTTAGCTTATTTTAAGTTTAGAATAAAGGCTGGAAGAAGGGCCAAGAGCTAGCCTGGCTCTGTGAAAAGTAAAAAAATAAACCAAGCCCAGTATCCCTTTTCGTGTTTGGTAGGATTACAGACGTTTTTCACTGTGCCACTTTCTGCTCTGACCAAGCCAGTCACTCTCAGCCTGGCAGAATCTGTGTTGACTTCTTCAAATTAACTTTAACTCAAAGGCACTGTCATTATGTTTTATATTTACCTTCTTTTATTGGTCTTATCTCTATTATTATTTTTCTCCAATATATTATAGCTTTACTCAATGATGCATTTAGTCTTTTAACTCTTATTAATATTATTAATGTTAATATTACAGACTGTAGTTTAATATTAAGTGCCAGGGTCATTGCAGGATGACACTCTACAGTGAGACTGGACAGTAAACAGTACTGAGTGTCCAGTCAGAACGTTAGCTAACAAGCAGCACCCTAACCGCAAAGCCACACTGAATAAATACACTCCACTGCAAGTGTGTGGGTGGGTACATGCACTGGACTTTGCACCAGAGCTTGCAGTGGACATGCAACGAAAGAACAAAAAGGACTAAATGTTCTGAAAAGTGAAGAAAAGTGACAATAACAAACAGCGACTGTGGTAAGAGAAGGGGGCACAGAGAGAGGGCGAGATCAAAGAGAGAGATATAGACAGAGAGCTGTCACTGTGTGTGCGTTTTATGTGGATGCTTAAGGGGAAACAAGGCTAACTTTCCAACTTATATAAAGCTGTACTCAGACTCAGCTAACCTACATTACATCCTCATCTCTCATGTTTATTCAGTTCTGACTAACAGATCTGTCAGGTGGATGTGTGCTGCTGCTGCTGCTCCTGGAGCTCTGTTTATTCCCAAATGTCAGTGATGCTGATGTTATTCATCAGAATCTAAGCAAATAGAGCTTTGATCTGTTTGTCAGGAATGCCAATAATATTATTATATTACCTCCCACCAAAACATTAGTACATTATGTACTTATTACTAGTACATAAACCATGCAGAGAAAAATGCTTCAAATATGGATGTTGCTGCAAAGAAGCTACAAATTCTAAAACGAGGATGGTTCACACATAACTTCAACCTGGCAGGACAGAAACAGCAACTAAGATCATTAGACAACCACCACAGTTTTAAGGCAGGCACCCAAAACGAAAATATGGTCACCATCTCCTGCCATCTTCTGTTTTTGAGTTACTGGGGTGAATAATGGCCTGAAAAGTGTTTTTGCAGAACAACATGATGTCACAGTGAAGCTGGCCTTTAACCTTTTGGATATAAAACGTCATCACTTCACAATTTTATCCTATTAGATATTTGGTTATTTGGGTATTATAATTTTGTCATAATTAGCATATGACTTCTTGAGTTATCACCAAAAACATGATTTGTGAGGTCACAGAGACCTTTGTCCACCAAATTCTAATCATTTCATCCTTGGGTCCGAGAAGATGTTTGTGCCAAACTTAAAGAAATTCCCTCAAGGCATTCTTGAAATATTGTGTTGACGAGTGGGATGGACTTACTGCCAAAAGCACAAAGCATCTGTCGCAGCTGCAAAGGCATATACAACCAAGTAAACCACAATTCCAAAAATAAATAACAAAGTTCATATGTTGCCCATATCTCAAATTGCTTCTTAGTTCATATAGATATGTATGAGAAGTTGCATATAGCTATGTATGTGTGTGTCAGCCACTAAACTGTTGTTGCTGCATGTTTACTCAAGCAGCTCCATGTCAGTCTCTTCCAAAACAACTCTACTTCATTATAGTTTTAAAAAAAAAGCAGAAAAGTCCATGATGTGACTGCAAAACAGTTCATGTTCGATCCACTGTT